CACACACACAGTCTTGCATTTCAGTGCAAGACAGGCCAACAGAGACAGCAAGAAAGAAATGAAACAGAGAGGCAGACAGAAAGAACGATGGAGGAAACCAGTGAGAGAAAGTTGCAGTTTTGCCACCCCTAGTCAAGTTGATCTCACATCCTGCCTTGTCCGACTCACCACAGGCCAGGGTTTCCCTTGGCTGTCTCACAGAAGAAATGGTTGAAAAGATCTCTGCTGTTGAAGTTGCTCAGCATGATTGCAGAATGAGAACATGGAGCTCCTGGTCAACCAACCCATGACTGCGGTAGGGAACCACTAATCCCCCGTCACATGACCTACAGCCCAATAATCCCCTCAGGGTCTCACAGCACCTGGTCCAAATGGGCCAAAAGCCAAAGCGTATGGATCGACGGAAACCCTTGAGGTTAACGATGGCTGGTGTAAGTCTGGAGTTAGACTTACACCAGCAACTATTATTTTCATTATAGATTAATCTGTCAATTACTCTCTCCATTGATAGATGAATGGGTTGATCTAGAAAATATCAGAATGGGGAAATATGCTTGTTACAATTTCCCAGAGCCCAAAGTGATGCCCGGCCAACCAATCACAACCCAAACTATTAAGTTTATTACCACAGAAGACAATACTTTCAAAATGACTTAAACAAGTGAGCAGTCTGATTGACTCCAGTACAGCTACAATAAAGCTGCATCATCCTGGTTGTCATGCATGCACAGTGTGTCATCAGTGAGTATGTGAGTGTGTGTCTGCACTCATAAAAGCATTCATCTATTATGTCTGCATGTAAGCTTCATTACCTGTGTTTGAGGTGTGCCTCCAGGTCACATCGTGGCATGCTGAGGGAGCAGACTGGGGTCAAAGGGCAGGACACAGACAGCTTGTCCAGCAGCTTGTGCACCAGTATGCTGGATCTGCGGCACGCCTGCAGCTGCAGCCGTGTCCTGTCCAGCGGGCAGAAGTCCCTCTCCTGGAGGAAACTACGCAGGCAGCGGGCGCAGAAAGTGTGTCCGCACGGTGTGTCGAGCGGCTGCACCAGCGGCTGCAGGCAGATGTGGCACACCAGGTCATCGTCCACTTCCAGACGATAGTTGAAAAGGTGGTTTTCCCAGCTGCGGTGGATCTGGCCACACTCAGAACACAGAGCCTCCAAGGCTGGCTCCAACGGCCCGGCTAGACCCACCTCGCAGCCTGGGCTGCCCATCTCTACTCCTTCAGCACAACTCAGCTTTGGCACAAATGACTCCAGTGGGGCTGCAGTGTTGGGAAGGGGCACACACACTCCTATCCCATAAGCTTCACAACATGAACAAGTTGCAGAGAGGACAGATGCCCCCCAGTGGCTGATGGCACATCACCCTGCAGGTCAGAGGTCAAAGCGAGAGAGTTAAACAGCTGTTTCAGAAAAACAACAAGTTTGTGATTATGTGCTTGTGCATTTATTCATGTGGCAAATGCTTTGTGCACGTGTATCCACGTGTCTGCACGGGATCGAGAGTGGCACTGTGTGTCAGTGAGTGTGCTGAGATTATATATTGCTGCTCCTGTCCACTAATCTGGCAGTATAATCTCTCTTTTGCTCTCGCCTGCTGCAATCTTCCAATTCCACAGAGAGGGAATTATCTGGGATTGAGGCAGAGAGAGGACACAGATCAGAGGAAGTGGGATTGGGAAAGCAACCGAGAGGGAAAATAGTGCCAGCGAGAGGTATAAAGGAGGAGGGACAGAGCGTGGAAGAAGAACATAAAAGATAAGAAGAGGGGCGAAAGAGATTAATGGGATGTAGAAATATGAAAGTGACATAAAAGAAGACAAAGAAAATGAGACAGGAGAGAGGATGGGTGAGGCTCTGAAAGGAAGTCAAGTCCACGAAAGAGATGGAAACAAAAAAAGATAATTCATTAAACATCCCCCACAGCGAACTTGATATTTCTGCCTCAGACAGATGTACAGTAGATGCACTCAGTCTCCTCTGTGACAGAAAAGAGAACATGCCTAAAGCAAAGTCTTGAAATATAGCACTCCACCGAGGAGACTGCGTCCCCAGAGCTGATGCGCTGTACGTGCTGATCGTTTCACATCCAAAGCCATTCAGACCTTCAGACGTTCTGTCAGCCGAGCTCCTGTGCGTGTGCCCTGGTGCTGTCAGCGGACAGCAGAGGGCGTGCCTCAGCACACAGCAGGCCAGCCAAGCCACAGTGACTACCTGCCTCTGTTCCAGCGGGGGTCTGGTCCTGTCTCCATGACGACCTGGAGCCTGTTCAGCGGGGCTTGACATTCAGAGTGTAGCTGGAGAAGGATGCAGACAACAGATGCACTTCTCTCAGCATGATGCTCTGCTCCTCCCCGGTACAGCCTGAAAGCCTGTCAGACGATGATGAGAGCCCCCTTGGATCCTTTTTTTTGCTTTTTTCGTCTCGTCTACATGGCTACCCATTTCTGTGACAACCTGTCTCTCCTGTCTCCTCGGCTGCCGGACCGGTAGTTACTTATTTCGGCCTCCTTTAAGTACGTGCTCCTGTCTGTGTGTGACTGGCTGCTTCTGTCTCTATCCCGCAGCTGGACATGAATTAATCATGAGGACACAAGGCTTCTCTGTTCCTATAACAAAGCTGTGACATCACCACATCACACACACACACACAGACTTGTGGATATACACGCAGGCATACGTCTGCACACGCAAAAGCAAAAACACACATCGTGCGCAAGAGCTTTTTAGGTACCAGATCCTGCAAACTGCTTTATCAATAAGTAAAGTCTTCAGGTTTTTACTGTGACAGCAGCAATGAAAAGCACTTAAATCTATTTTAAACATAGCCAGACTCTGTAGCGACAGATTCCTTTACACAAGTCACATAAAGACTGGCAAATGCTTTTGAAATTTCTCTCTTTTAATTCCAGTGTGTGTTTGTCTGTGTGAGAGTCCAAGGCCATGCTGTTATTGTCATTGCACTGCTTTCTATATTAATAAATAACAGTCTTGGCCCTGCACCTGTCTCTGATCATTATTCTTTTTTCTTTTTTTTGTCTCTCCACAGATGACAATCTACTCTCACAACATGAACAACATTGCCAGCAGGAATTACATTTTCAAATAAGATGAAATTATGTTTTAAGGCCAGAGATTTTAAATCTCAGGTCCTGTCGGCTTAGCCTACATTTTCATAAACCCCATCTCGTCGTCTCTTATCTTTAAAAAAGGCTGATGGCCACTTGCAAGAACGGCTCTGCTGCTAGGTCTGTTGCAATAGGCTGCTTTTGTTCACAACAGTCAGACATGCAATGATAACATCAAAACCTGATCCTGATATAATTGACAACAATTCAAATCATTTCCCCCCCACTGTCATAGCCATTACCTTGGCAACGCACCAACTGAAGTGTCATGATGTATAAGATGCCCGCAGGCGTTGAACACATTTGATAAGACGAGAGCATTTTTTTAATCATTGCCCCCATCTGTCTGACTCCATCCCACCCTCCACAGGCGGAGAAGCTAGGACAGATGAAGCAACAACGGCAATATCAGTGCAAACCCAGCCACACACTGACACCGCTCGTGCAAGCACTGAATATAAGCAGATGTAATAATATTACCTACAGCGGCTGCTCCTCCGCGCCGTGCGCTCCGGCCCCAAAAAGGGGGAAGATTATTAGCTGCGGGACCTCAATCACGCATTCACCGCAACGGCCCGTTCCGCAAACCTGCACGAAAACGCCCCCGTGCCTTTGGCGGCGCTGGCCCCGCCCACTGCTGTCAGTCAACGGGGCTGGGCGGGGCCTGCGGGTGTCAATCCAGAGCAGAATCAGGGGTGGCTTCCAAACTGCCTGATTAAAACGGGATTTTTTCTAATGGGATATCTTCTAAATTACTGTGATGTAAAATCAGGAGTTTTAATGGATACAGAAAAGTTCGAATGTTGTACAATTGTTTATTAATTTTGGCTAATCAATAACTACCGATGCGGAGTTATTACCTATTAGATAGCCATATCTGTCTTGGTATGATGCATTTTTTGATAAGGTTAGGTTTTTTATGGTTATGCTGTTTCAACATGAATGATTATATTGTACTGCCATAAACTGTTTTCCATAAACGGTTAGTTTGTCAGTGAAACCAACATTCTCACAAGGCACCTCTTCACAAGGGGTTTTAAGTAGTAACTTATGGCTGTATTAATTGTTAATAATTAATTGTGTAATGCTTTGTAGAATAGTAATTAGCCATTAATAATAACAACCTTTGCAAAAAATCTCACTTGCAGGTCAGTCAGAATATGTGCAATGAGTTTCTAATAAGCTATCAGGTCTGCAGATATGAATGTTACGAATTAATAAATAAATGGTAATAAGCTATCAGTGCAGTTTTTTTTTTTGTTTTTGTTTGTTTACCTTTATTTATTCAGGGGAACTTCACTGACAGGAGGCTTGATCACATGCACACCCGGTCACCTTTAGGCCACCACTGCCTTTATAGTTAGTTACTTTGCAGATGAAGACATTTATATAACCAACAAAATAAAAAATTAATTAATGATGCACTAATGCCGATTAAACTGCCCCAATAGAAAATGTTAAAACGCCAACAACTGCAACATTACAATGCACTGACATATTGATGCATCATCAATACTAATGAGTAGGCTACATGTGGTGCAAAATGAGTAGGCCTACCGTATTTTTAATTTTAACACTTATTTTTACTTGCAATGGATCGTTTTTATACTTTGTGGTATTTCTGCTTTTTCTTAAGGGGCTACTGTGAACCACTACTTTGTGTAATTTGTTTGATTCAAACTGTGCAAATAAACAAAACTCAAGCTAAAATATCAAGATGTTAAGTGGTATTCAAAGCGTTTTCGACTTTAATTGATCCATGAAATACATTTACTAAAGTTATTTGTGTCATGTTCGTTTTCTGTCACAGAAAGACCTTTAACAGTTAGTTGCTGGATGTGATCAGGCATCGCTAAGGACAGCGAAAAACACAGGGTCCTCCGTTGAAGGACCTCGCGGAGAAGTAAACAGGAAAGATGCTGGAGTAATTTACGTACAACAATCGATTTTAGTCTATTTAATTGTATCCCTACTTGTAATTGATTACGACGCGATGGCAGAGGAAAACGACCTGGAAAAGTACGTAACTATGTTGCTGTTTGCACCCACTTAACGTTTGTAGTTTGCAGCAGCGCTCACTTCTAGCTAGTTTACCTTCAAACCCGTAGCTTAACGTTACCACCCCTCCATCCGTAGGGCTATTTTTGGTCTACAGCTGTTTGTTTTGTGTCGTAAGACGAGGGTGAGTGTGTAGTGGTTGTAAGGAAACCCTGTCACCATGACAGATATCGTTAGCTGCCTTTGCTGTGTGGTTAAAGGTCGGCTAAATCAGTGTCTCTCCTCTGCCGAGACTCTGCTGATTCAGCAGCTCGGGTCAAACGAGGACACTGCCGCCGTCCCTCATTCACTCACTAATGATTCACTTTCTCCTTTACACTCTGCATCACTCTGTGTTCTCTCACTTAATTAAATTATTCTCCCCTTGGCTCCCCCTTGAGGTGTTGTGCCATCTTTGTCCTCAACTTATCCCCGGTTTCCTCCCCTTCACATGACTCGTTTTGATATTTGTCTTTATTTATCCATGTAGGCGCGCAGTGGAGGAGCTCCTGAGGGAGACTGACAGGGCTCGGGTGAGAGCAGAGACCATGGGCCCCGCAGGATGGTGAGCACTTTATTTGACATGCCATCTGTATTAGCCTGCACATATCTGCCATCTGTGGACATTTAACTGCTACTCATCAGCTTCGCTGTACTTGCACTGGGGCAAGTTTTGTTCTTTGGGTGCATCACCTATTTGTGGTGTGTTTAGATTTACTCTGCGCACACTCTGCCTTGTTTCTGTGCTATATTCTCAGCCAATTTGTTCATGTCCTTAATATAATGTGTACACAACAGTAGCTACTTCTCCCTGGATCCACATCAATTTATTTAGACAAAACAACACATTAAATCTGACACCTATTAAAAAAGATGCCTCCACATAACATGGCATTACACATTTTAGGAAACCAGCATTTATAGCAACTCATTTATTTGTAAATAAAATTATGCTTATTACTTTCTGGAGCTTTTATAACTGCAAATTAATTTCATGTCACCATTGCATGATAATTTACTGATTCTGTATTGATCGAATGTATCAGTACTGTATTATATAACTGTATTTGAGCTATGTTGCAGGGTCATTAATGGGTTTGTTTGTTTTTTCTGAACTCACTATATTGTTCTATATGACTGAAATGAACAAGGTTATAGCCAATTTACTAATGTTTTATTGTGTAATTATTTGCCATCCCCCAAACTGTCTTCATTATGATACTGATTATGCCAGTATACCCAGCTACAGTAAATGCAGTGCTAGTTACCCTTGTTGCTCATTTTGTCTTGGCGAGGGTGCAATTTAAAAATACTCAAACCAAATGAAATGGATTGCTATTAGTTAGTTCAGCTGTATCTATTCAGAAAGTCTCCTTGAGATCTAGAAAAACCTCATACTGTATATACAACATTGAAAACAAGAACACAGAGACAGTCACACAAAGCAGTCATCGCCACACACATTTACTAAAACAATCACAAATATTTAAAACAATATCAACAAGTAAACTTTAAAGAGGTCATATTATGCTCATTTTCAGGTTCATAATTGTATTTAGGGGGTTGTACCAGAATAAGTTTACATAGTTTAATTTTCAAAAAACACCATATTTTTAAACTATATTGTCATACTGTACATTGCTGCAGCACCTCGTTTCACCCTGTGTGTTGAATGCTTTGTTTTAGCTACCGAGTGAAGCATCTCACCTCTATTTAATCTTTGTTGGGAGTTGCACATGCACAGTACTTAGCTAAGGACTATTAGCCAATCAGAAGCGGGCAGACGTCTTGTTACTGTGTGTGCTGCAGCTCAGTGTGTTTCTCCACCAGTGTTTTTGAGGGCGTGTCTGACAAGCCGCTAGGTGAGCATTATGACGAGTGCATAGTGACGCAGATAGGTTAAACAAGGCTGGACTACAATCGATCTGTTTTCAGGCATTTCAGGAGCAGTGTATTCTGTGGGAGATGGAAACTCCCTTTGGGGTGGACTTTGTTTATTTTCTGGCCAAAAAGTAGTCAAGTCAGCCTTTATTATCATTTCAAATGGTTATTAGCTCTGAATTCAACTAAGGATGTCAAGTCTATCCTGTCAGATGTAAAAAGTGTGTCTGCTCACTCCTCCTTTCAGGTTGAAGTGTCCCCTGCGGAGCCCCAACAAACGCTTCCTCCTCAACACCCTGCGCTCCACTGGCCTGCAGGGGCGCACAAGTGAGCCCAGAGACGGACACTCCATCTCAAGAGGGTACCTGAGGAGCGACTCCCCGGGAAGAAGACGGGACCGCAGCAGAACACCTCCCGGATATCACAGAAGCAACGGAGGCCACGCAGACCATAAACACCATCACAGGGAGAGCTGCAACAACAAAGATAAGAAGCAGAGTAGTGACAAAGACGGGGGTTACAAAGACGGCAGAGACCGGAGACATGGGAGGGATGGCCAGAACAGAGACAGACTACTTCATGAATAAAGACCTGGTTCTTTTGCAAAGGCCACTCCCTGTCCAGGGAGCACAGAGGTGGGCACTTCTGAAACTGCTCTCTGGCGAGCTAACACACCTCACACACCTGCTAGCAGGCTGAAAGACCTCCTATTCATGTTGGACACCGCATAATAGAAGGAGCCATATAAGACTTTCCGGGTGGAGAATTGTCTTGCAGTTTACTGTTCATGTTTGAGTTTGTTTTGTAGCTGGAGTATTTTTCCTCCTGGTTTTCCACTAAATAAAGTAGATGTTATATTTCAGGAAATCAACTCATTTTAGCCAATATTCTAGGGCCCTCCCCTCTCACGTTCAATTATAATGTCGTTCAATTATAATGTCATTACAATTCTTTGGTCATTATTCACCAGCCCTAATGTTTACATAAGCCATGCTGCTGTCGCCACTGGGTAAGCACATTTTATCACGTGTCCAACTTTTTTGACATGTACATGCAGCTATCAGAAGTGGGTTTGTTTGTCAAAGGAGAAAAAAAAATCTTGTTTTCCTGACACTCCTACATGTGCAAGACTCCTCCTGAACAAGTGGCCTCCCGCAATGGCTTAATAGGACTTTAATAAGGCTGTAATGGCAACAATATCTGTTAACTGTTATTATAATAATAATAATCCAGTGATTAAAAAGTCACAATAATTCTACTTGTTTTAATGGGGTCATCCGGGTTTCAAGACAACAGATGGACATTTGCTCAAGCGTTGAAAGTGGTATAGGGCCTTTTATATCTTTCCCATCCATTTGTCTCCATGTGTTTAAGCTTACAGCTTACACTCTTTTATTGTGCTGCATCCAGAGAGTTTTTATTTTTTTATTTTATAAACGTGGCACTCTCTTTGTTCATGATGACCCTTATAGGTCTATTATAGTAAAATTTAATCTGCCCTACTCCTTGCTTGAGCCATTTTACGCAGAATCTGAGAAAAGAGTCTGTCAGCCAAAATGCGCTTAACGCCCCTCATGCCTCATAAATCACATTGTCCGTCTCCGCTGTGGTGGAGAATAGCTTCGGTTAACTGTTTCCTTCCTCTTTGAAACAATGATCAAATATAAACACCATTAAGCCATAATGCAGGGGGGTGATTTGTATAGAATTGGTTTACTTGAACTTTATAGCATCGCTGAGTGCCCCATTAAGATACTGGGGAAAGGGCCATAATTGCTTTTGAAGAACTCAGTGCAAATAGTGTATTGTTGCACGCTATCAAGGTAAAAGCCCCGCCATCCTGCACAGTTTATGAAGAATAGGTAAATCACTCCGATCGGAGGCTCAAAATGTGCGTAAATGCTGGTGGTGAGCTCGCGGGGCTGTGGAGACACGCTCCGCGCGCTCGCCGGTTAATTGAGTTCTTTTGCTCACTCCAGCCTAATTGGTTAACCGCGAGAGCTGTTGTTTAATGGGGCGAACACACACCTGCCAAAGGCTAATGGCCAGCAAACATGGCGAGAGTGCTGCAGCGGCCGCAGCAGCAGCTCGGTGTTTGTTATCGCCGAGGGCCCTTCGTGCGGGGACCACACGCGCTAAATGGTGTTAAATGATGCATTTAGAGCAGTGTAATGGGTACGTTTAAAAGTCACAAAGGTGTAGACAAATGAAAAAAAAAAACGAGGGTGTGGAAATAGACTATGGTGTTTGAGTTTTTTCTCCCGAGTTTCCAAGACAACTGTCTCATCATCCAGGTCTCTTATCTGGCAGGTCAACCAATGTTTGCGCCCATACATATCGATTTATCAGCTGCAGTGTGCAGACGGGAGGTATAACCATATAAATTGTCGATGCTTCATTGTTTGAGGACAATCCTACATGAGAAAACATGTTTCTTTCGTGCGCTCTAGACTTAAAAGGAGCTGTTGAACCTTTTTTTTCTGTGTGTGCAGGCAGGGTCTTGGCTCTCACAGATTCACCTGTTCACCTGTCGATGCTATAGGGGACAAACACGGGTGGGTGCCAGGTAAACGTCACGGTATTTACAGAGTGGCATTGATTTACGCGCTGACGGCCGTTCTGTTCAATTTACTGAAAAATCCCACAAGCTGCAAGATATCCTGGAAACTGAGGGCTACGGGTCTGCCGTTTTGAGCAAACAGTGAAACCAATGGCTTTGGCGCTGCAGGGTCACATGGTGGCAGAGTGACACACCTGTGTGGAGCCGTGAGGGGCCTCGCAGTTGCGCCAGAGACCGGTAGAGCAGAACGTCCACGCCAAGGCAGGGCGCAGGTACGGTACATGTGCGGGTCCACGGAAGCCATGAATCGGGAAGATCATTATTATCCATCTCAGGTTTTTAAAGACTCCTGTGCCTACCAGAGATCACAGGGGGAGGACTACAGCCACAGCCCGCCGCCCTGCCTCTACATGAGCAGGCAGGTGCACTCTGTCTACACACCGCCGGCCATGGGAGTCTTGGAGCAGGCCAGCCTTCCTGACATTGCCCCCTCTTACAGTCTACCCATGCGGGAGGATCCAGGTGTGCCTCAGCTCCACCATCCTCAGGGGCTCCAGCAGCAGTCTCTCACGCCTGCTACAGCCTACGGAGACACGGGGGATCAGAGATATCACCTCCCTTTCCCCTGGATGAAAACCACAAAATCTCACTCGCACACCTGGAAGGGACAGTGGGCAGGTAATTCTTCAAAACCGCCACACATCAGTAAATGTCAAGTAAATAAGATCCCTATAACATAGACCGTTACGGAATAAAGAACTGAGATTTTAATTGCAATCACTCCATAGAATAAGATTATTTCAAAAATACATGCACCGTTTTGTTTACAACATTGCTCTGTAGCCATAGCAGTAATAAGTGAGTTTCTTAGTGACTCTTTCTGAGGCCCGTAATGACGACATGCTCCCAACAATATGATCCTGGGTGTTTCAGTTTACCTTGTCAGTCAATTTGTAAAAGGCCCGGAAGGTCAGCGCTTGCTTTTTATCAGGTCTTATCGTCACAAAAATGTTGGTTTTGTCTTTACAAAACATTGTCACAAATCGCCATATCTCAAACCATCAAAAGGCTGCATAGCCTATTCAAGACTATAATAGGCCCTTAAAACACCCAAATCTACAGCAGTGGTTTTTGATTGATGTATGCCTTAAAAAAAAACTTTTATGCTAACAGTGAAATGTTAGTCCAAATTTTACCATTTAAATTAAATTACTGAACCATTTAATTTATAATTTTCTTCTCTTCTACTGGGTGGTATTTTAATTACATGACACTTTTGGCTTTAATTATAGGCATATCAAACTAAATTTTGTTTTCTAATGAGCTGATTTTCCTCAGAGAAAAATGTGGACGTCATCCAGACCACGAAGTTTCTGCCGCAAAAATCATCAGAGAAAAGTTTCAGACGATTCAACAAACCTTTATTCTACGTCACTGATTTGATATAGGCTATGGCATTTTTTGAAATTAAATCATATTCCGTATCAATTGACCTACTTTTTTGCGCAGTTTTTTTGTGAATGTTAATTGGTTATAGTATACTGAAGATATATCAATGACTTTCATATGTAGGCTGTATTTTTTAAGTAGCATGTTTTCACTAAATTTAGCAATAAACTGCGAAACGTTTTTAATAGACGCTGACACTAAGAGGGCTTTCATTTCAAAAAGGTTGATGTAAGTGTTACAAAATGTAAGGATAATATAGTGGATGCCAGGGTCAAAGCTGTCAATCGTGCTCTTATAAATAGCTAGTCCTTTATACCGTCAGTGGCTACACGTTTCTTAGTTGGTGTTTACAGTTAAATTGTTATAGCCTGTATCTTATTGTCCAGGTAAGTTTTAATCAACAAAGAGACATTTCTAGAGGGAAAGAAATATATTTTCAATGTCAAATATTTAGAGGCTACATCACTTTCTGCTCTAACTAGCTGATTGGGCCTTTTATTGATTTGTAGGTTTTTATTTTTATTTACTATTTATTGTAATGCACCAAATCACCAAAACAAATCCCTTTATATGTGTAAGCCTACTTGGCAAAACAGCTCATTCTGATACTGATCGACTGCAAGAAAACCCCCAATAATAAGGCAAAATGTAGGTTTGGCTTACATGTCCATTAAATGCGTTCTTTTTTTCTAAAGTTGTTTATGTAATAAATCGTTTTTTGCATGACTGTTTTGATTTTGATGTTGAGGCCATGTGTAAGTTATAAGGGTCATTCCTGAACTGAGTTAATTTACTAAATCTAGTCGTGTTCCTTCTGACCTGAGGAGGGACTCGAGAGGTCCCGGGTAGTGAGGAATAGCGCGATGGCTTTAGAGACTGCAAAGTTACCTGTTTCACTCTCACCCTCGTTTTCTTCTAAGCTTCCGCAAATCAGCCACAAAAACATTTGCGTGATTGAACCACGTCTAAATGTGTGCTCTCAGATGTCACAAACTCATCTATCAATGCAAACTCTGCTTTTATCATGTTTAATTTGTAATAGCCTATCTGATCACTAGTAGGATGTGGGTCACCACATGTAGGCTATACATTAGGCTATTATTTGTTTTGTCCACAGTAATAGGAAACAACAACCTAGAACCGATTCAATAAAATTTTATTTATATAGCGCCAAATCACAACAACAGTTATCTCACAGCGCTTTTCATAAAAGAGCAGGTCTAGACCGTACTCTGTGATGTTATTTACAGAAGCCAACAATTCAACAAACCAAAACCTTAATCTTAATCTCCAAAATATGTTACCCATAATCTTTAAAAGCTGCACTGAAATGGAATTTAGTGTTTTAAATATAATAGGCTACATTGTCCTGACAACATATTACAGCTTTAGAGCGTCTTCATAACACCTGTTGCTTCCATATTTCAACTAAGGACGTAGGCAATTTTTCGGTAAATTTTAAATAACTGTAAATTCCGTGTAACGTTGAATAAATGTTTATTTTACTGGCTATTAAAACAAACATAGCCAACACTGTGGTTTCTGCAGGTAGGGCCTACCTGCTGGAGTTGTCGGAAACTAACCCATGCACTTCTAATAAGGCTTATAGGTCATGTCCAGTAAAAACTTAAAGGATAATTATTACAATTAATTTACTCTTTACTTTAGATTTAGTCCATACTAAATAAATAATAGGTAGGCTACACCTGCAAACTTTAATAAATGATAAGCACTTGTACACTTACAATCTCTGTTTGTCTCTAGGACCATACGTAATGGCGGAGAGTGAGGAAAACAAACGCACGAGGACGGCCTACACGCGCGCCCAACTGCTGGAGCTCGAGAAGGAGTTTCTGTTCAATCGCTACATCTCGAGGCCGCGCCGCGTGGAGCTGGCCCTGACCCTGAGCCTCACCGAGCGCCACATCAAGATCTGGTTCCAGAACCGGCGCATGAAGTGGAAGAAGGAGGAGGACCGCCGGAGGGCGAGGGGGGGCGACCCGGACCAGGACTCCTCCATCACCTCTGGAGACCAGGGGGAGGCCGCGGGAGGGGTCTCCTCTACGAACGGACCTCACACCACCTCACCCTCTGTTTCCCCGCAGCACGGCCACTCCCTCTCCGTCCCTGGGTCCAGAGAGCCCGCATAGACCTGCAGGAGGGACTTACATTCACACTGCAGGGATCTTTTTCAAATAGGCTATTTAAGGCAGCCCACCTGAGAGGATTTATATTTTAGGAATCATATAAGATACAGAATTAGGGCGAAAATTGAGGGAGGGAAACCAACAAATCTCCCTTAGAGTTAAGGCATTTAAATCTGGTGTTTATTTCCCAGGGACCCCCTTGAACTCTCTCTCTCTCTCAAGGACCACCTATACCTCCTTATTGGATATCACTGCCTATCGTTTACTGGACTGAAGGGACTTTTTTTTTTCATCCCACTTCACCCTGGTTGCTTTGAGGGCTTTTGGGCACCAGATGGCATGCTGAGACAACCAAACCATGCAAAGCCCCTTCAGAGGCACTGTTTCATGGCCTTATTAAGTTTTACAGTGCATTGTTTTCACCTCAGACATGTGAGTAGCATACAAGCATGTTTATGAATGTATATATGCTTTATGACTGTATTTGCCATATTATCAGTGTCCACGTGTAAATAAGGCTACGCCATGTAAAGTGTTCAATTAGAATCAACGATACACATATTTTATTGTTTGAATCATTAATTGTACAGTACGGTGGATGAATGACACATAATAAAGTTGGAATAAAGCAAATATCACAGCCTATGCAGACCTGAGAACAATGCCAGTCTTTACCACAGGTGGTTAAACTGGAACAGGAGAAATCCAACAAACTCCAGTAACTAAAATGCATTACTTGTTGGTTGCGTCAGTTAGCACGAGACCCTGGAGACGCAAGCGGCATATCTTCTTCACCTCCTCGATGCCGCGCGCCCTCTCCACCGCGCGCTCGTTCTGGCAGCGCTCGGACAGCTGCAGCAATATGCTCGCCTTGTCGTTCATCCGCGCGCAGATGACGAATGGGAACCCGAAGCGCTCCTTGTAGTCGTCGTTGAGCCGGGCTATACGCGAAGCTTCCGGGGAGCTCAGAGCGTCCATCCCGGCTCCAGCCTGCTCCTCGCGAGACTCCCGGGTCAAGGTGCCGCTCTGGAGGTCTCTGCCCGCGAGGTCGGGGTGACACCTGAGGATCCCCTCTTTACCTGCACAAAGGGCGACTCTCAGATTAGTTAGTAGGCTAATGTTTTATCCCATGTAGGCCTGAGGGGCAAACATCCACCCAAAACTTCAGCAGAGCTAAACACTAAGTAAACAGCTACTAAAATGTAGGACTGTCTCACCCGATTCTGGGAGAGCATCGATGAAGTCACTGATTGCAGCCTCAACAGCTGTCAGGCTCTCAAAGGGACGCCTCGACCACACAGCAGCTGCTACAATGGGACACTTCTCTACCACATTGCCGAAAATATTCACAAACTCCTCGTAAGGAAGCGCATTCACTGCGTCGATGTCCATGTTCACGTGGGGACACTACACAGGCAGCGTTTGTCGACCTTCGGACAAAACCTTGCAACAAGGGTTCATGCACTGTTGGACACAGCCCCTATGCCTGCAGAGGTTAATATTTTCCTTCTCACATTAACTGCCAAACTTTTGAAATAGAATGGAAATAGTTTGCAAATGTGTTTAACACCGGGTTCAGACTTCCTATGAGCTCGACAGACGTCGTGCTCACTAGTATGGTTTAACCCTCAGCCGACGCCCCGTCAGACAGATCACTGTATTTGTGCCTTCCACTACGACTTCTGTGACGGTGATCAACAGGCGCGCAGAGCGCTCCTCAGTGCGCAACTGTAACCGAAGCAAAGAGCCATAGTGCCGCTAAAAGTGTGAAACAGATATAGGCGAACAGCCACAGTCGTTTTTTCTCACTTTCGTTGATGTTTTTCTCTACACCAACAGCCAATTCAATAAATTCAACCCAGCGTGATACACACCGCTTCGGACGCCATTGTTTGTTTACATTCTTGTTCCCGGAAGTCAGTCCCTATAGCACCTCCTTCCGTCAGAGATGATTGACTAGATGGGAAAATAAAAATATTCCTCTTCTGGCCTCTTGAAATGCCCAAATAAAACAATTGGAGAAGAAAATCACTTTTTGGTTGACCTAGATCGTTGTTATTAAAAGTACGTTTTATTGCAGGTATAATGCTATTCCTAAACATGACAATATAGCCTAATGTATTAAAAAAATGTTAAAATAAAATAGAGAAGCTTGGTTTGAACAAATACATAAATGTGTACAAAACTGAGATAACACAGGCCACAACAAAATAATTACCATTACAAGACAGTATTTTAAGGCAAAAAGGTTGTTTCTATAGGTCTATGCATTGTAGCTTAAGACAATCAAACAAACAAAAAACAATTGTATGAACCTTGAACCTTGATCAGTTGCTACAGGCTGAATGTAGAAAAAGAGTGACAACTCTAGGCTATAGCTTACAAGTCTAAATACATGTGTAGGGAAGAGTGGCACAACCTAACACATTTTGGTTTGGACTAAATAACTGAAAAACATTTGCGTTTGATTAATCATATTTTTATACAAGCAACACACATCTCGATACAAATGAACACTTGAAGTTTATTTCTAGGACCTACCGTTCTTGTACAATTGTGCTGAATGTTGAGGGAGTGAAATTTTACAACTTCTCCCATGTGTGGGGTTAGTTGTAACACTTGCTAGAAAATTCTGTTCATCCAAAAAATTCTATCTGATTAAATTAAATTATATGTATATATTATAGGTGAATAATTTATGGATCTATATATGACAGATATCCACACATCCATTTAACCCTCAACCAATCATCCATCATGAGTTGATAAATAGATAAGTAGATATTTGTAGATATTATCACTTTCCATCCATGATATATATCATATAAAGAAAGAGAGATGTCTTTTCATCTAAATTATGGTCTATCATGGATTTATATTCAAATGGATGGACCAATGGATAGATGGATTGTATCCACACATCAAAATATATATGTAAATATTGATAGGGGTTAGTTGTAACCCCACTCTGGTGAGTTTGTCTTTAAGTTGGTCAGCTGTACTACGTTTTAGGCAAAAAAAATGGTTATTAAGGTAATCCATGATTGGATTCAGTGACTTACACACACAGCTCAGAAATCAAAAAAGAAGTATGCAACAAAAATGTACTTTTATGCTGTGAAAGCGCTCTTCCCTATCTTGACAAAAATAAGTCCAATCACTCTAAAAATTGTAGAGAGACCGTCTGCTGGCTCTTTGATAAACTGACCTGAAACACAATCTGCTTGACCCTGTGCAACAACGTATAATGTCTGTGTTACATCTTACCCCGTGTTAGCTTGTGCCCCGTGCTCCCCTATATTACATAGTCCTGAGAATTTTAGGGATCCTTTTCTCACTTTTAGCTGCACAATAAAAAGATAAAAAAGTCAGTATTTACATTCAGACCACATTGTCAGTGAGAATATAATTCGCTCAAATCCCGTAGGGGAGAAAAAAAACCCATTGTATGTTTGGTTACTTCTGGAGATCCTGAAAAGTTATGTTAAGTATATGCTACATGTCCCGAGTAAAACTTTTTAATATAATATAAAGCAAATGCAGTCTCCTGTAACTATTGTTAGATAAAATGCTTTGAACATTTGGTCAACAGGCTTTCAGTGATAGGGGATCACTCTGTATCAGACGGCTTCAGAAGCTCCTCCTCAGCTGCCACGGTGTCTACTTTGCTCTCTTCAGTCGCATGGGTTCGACAGTAGTTATTGGCTGTCTGCGTCTTGTTCTCGCTTTGTCTTGTCAAGGCGGAAATGTCCAAAATGGCCGGTGCATTCTGGTAGTCGCTGGATGACTGGTCGAGCATGTTATGGTAGAGCTGATAGAGGAAGGAAGAAAAGGAGTAAGTTTAGATAATAATGTTGCTTATAGATCAGATACAAAAGGATAAAACTCTGCTTCAAATAGACTATTTCTACCCACAGTAAGCTGGCCTTGCTCTACAGGCCTACCTTCTCCTCTCTGTCTGTCAGCATATCACACATGAAGGACACCAGTTTGGAGAAAGATGGCCGGTTGCAGGGATCCAGGGCCCAACACTTGCACATCATCCCGTACCTGGAGAGGAAAGTCATAGAGAAAAACTATGAAATATTCATAGATTTTGTCAATAGTTGCTGAAAGACTTCTTGTCTATGAAGGTTCCCAGCTGCACTAATGCATTTGTTTGGTCTTGATGACAGCAGGTTAAGAAGTACTTGTAAACTTTACTTAAGTGAAAGTACTACAACAATGTAAAACACTTAAACCTTAAGTAAAGTACTTAAGTAAACGTATTAGCAAAGTGCACTTACAGTAAAACATCAAAAGTAAAACTGTAAAATGGCACATTTCATAGCGTTCTATATAGGTAACATTATTGGATAAATGTTACTTAAGTATTAAGCAGTGTTTTACTGTTCCAGCTGCAGTTAAACTATTTTATATACAATTATAGACAATTCTGGCAACAGTTGGGTCCTTATTTTCTTAAAACAAGTGAAAAGATCTGTTAGTGCAGTAAGTATCCTACAACCTGTTTTTCATATGAACCTGTCTAAAAGAAAAACCTTGTTGTGTTTTTTACTGCCATTGTTCATTGTTATTACGGTGCAAATGATTAAAATATCTTCATCGTTACAGTGTACAGAGTTGATTCTGAATCTGGTCACTGTCTTGAATCCATTCAAATATTGTGTCAATTTATTAGAGAAACATAAAGGTCGCATACAGACTGAAGACACCTACACAGACTCGTCGGCGTAGTATGGACACTCCATCTTAAATCCTCTCTCAATCATTGAATAGAACGTGTGATCCACCTTCATTCCTGGGTACGGAGTAACACCTGAGACCAACAGTTAGACAGACAGAGCTGGTGTTAATCATTGTGCAGGAATTGATTGTGTGCTTTTTAAATGTGCTGCCCATGGAGAGCGCTGGCGAAGCTACCGAGTGAGAAGATCTCCCAGAGCAGAATGCCATAAGCCCAGACGTCACTCTTCATGGTGTATATCCCCTGAAAGGTGCTCTCCGGTGCCATCCACTTCACTGGCAAACGCACCTGACAGACAGCAAATGTATGCGTCAATGTGTGAGACACGGTGAAAAAATATCCAGAATGTAGCAACCAATGAATGATGTAAAATAACATTGATAGCAGGCATCTTGCGACATACATTTCCTCTCACGACATAGTTGGAGTCGTTTTCAATGTCCCGGGCCAGTCCAAAGTCACCAATCTTCACCAGTCTGCCCTTTGTCACTAACACATTTCGGGCTGCCAGGTCTCGATGGATACACTGCAGACAGACAGGACCAATCGTCAGGATATTTACTTCAATCACACCACACATAATAGACAAAGATCAAGCCCATAACAGCAGTTTGCAGTTTGAAATGTTTGTGTTCTTTGTAGACAAGTCATTTTAAGCATTTATTGTCATGTATTGCATAGAAAAAACTCACGACTGAGAAGCAAGAACTAGGGGGAAAAAAAATGCATTAATTGTGAAGCAATCATCAGAATAGTTGCTGGAAAACATCAGCTGTGTGTCAGTGTAGAGAGTGTGGAGTTGACAGATGTAAATGTGGAGAGTTTGTAGTGTGTGTGATCCTTTGTCCCTTACGTTCTTGGAGGACAGGAACTCCATGCCTTTGGCCACTTGGAAGGCGAAGCTGAGCAGGTCATCAAAGGTCAGGGCTTGCATGTCCACTGTCTGATCATCTGGGTCTTCGTAGATCTCTGGGTCTGCAGACAAACTGGCATCAATTAGGAACAACACTGATCCCATTCGCACATCACTGAGCTGTAGGTGTTCATTTATTAGTGGATCTATTTGACAACATGCGTGTTCTGACTTCAGATGGTATTTTTTTCAACCTTCAAAGCTGTCCATGTCACCGAAGTTGAGAGTGAGGAGGGCGATGTCCTCCTGCCCTCTGGTGGTAGAACAGTGCATGGGAACGTAATTGTCCAAAGGTGTGTCCAGCTCACTGAGAAAACAATGGGACAGGATTGTGATTATGATGTTAAACCAGACATCCAAAAGAGTTATTTAACAAATATGCTTGTACTTGTATTGCCCTTTGTTGCCCTTATTGCCAAATTAGTCCACCAATTTTTCTCCCACCCCTTGTTTTCCCCTTGTTCTCACCTAGAGCCCTTCCCGCGCTGCAGGTTGTGGTAAAGGCTGGTGAAACGGTCCTTACTGAAAGCATCAGTGACAGACTTGTGGTAGCGGTCTCTGTTTTTCTTTAGGTAGTTCAGTAGATCTCCAAAACAGCAGTACTGGAAAATCAGGTATGTGGGTCCTGTATGGGGAAAACAAATATTATTTAAAATTTATCAGCACTATATAAACACTTTACAACACACATAATGTAGTTGTAAGCAAATACATCTCATATTATTGTGCATGTGTGTAATTAGTGGTATAATGTACCTGTGTCTGTGCATGCCCCGAGCAGGTTAACAATGTTGGCGTGTTGACCGATGTGAGTCAGCATCTTGAGCTCTGACATCAGAGCCTCCTTCTCCATCGTCTCGTGTTTTTCTGCAAGGTCAAACACCACATCACCTACTGAAATGACCTCCATAACATTTTGCATTTCACTCACATAAAATAAATATGTGAAACACTGACCTTTAAGCATCTTGACAGCTACCTGCTGTGAGACTCCAGGTTTGCTGATGCCATACGCTGTAGCCTGGACCACCATGCCAAAAGCCCCAGAGCCCAGTTCTTTACCTGGGACACAGAAACACCTCACTTTGATTTTTGCTCACGCTGAGCAAGGGTAACTTGCAGATCAGATTGAGATTTTACATGTAAAAACACTGCTTGCTCATAAGAAAAACAATTTTCTGTACAATGCATTGTCCAGTGCTACCTAATGTGTTTGGGATGTGGCCTTTTACAAAAATGTGTCTATAAGTTGTTAGCAGTCACCAAAAAGTGATATACCCTCTAAACGTCTGGTTTGATTTATTAACTGTTCCAAGACCCAAAGAGGTAAAACCCCAAAAGAAAAGGATGCTAGTTAGAACTATATGAAGCCCAACTTTGTTTTTTCTTCTTTCCTCACCCATCAATTGTCTCACGACCCCTCTTCTTGTGCCCCTTTGAAGGGGCCCAACCCCTAGTTTGGTAAACTATACCCAACATTGTAAGAAGTAGTTGCATTACTGATTGCATCAAAAGTAAAACAATTTAATAGGCCTATATTATATCAGTCACAGAGGCTGATTTTCTGCAAACCTAGTACTTTTACTTAAAGTGGTCATATTATGCTCATTTTCAGGTTCATCATTTTATTCAGGGGTTGTAGCAGAATAAGTTTACATGGTCATATTGCACATTGCTGCAGCCCCCTTTTTTTACCCTGGGAGTTGAACCCTCAATTTTAGCTACCGAGTGAAGCATTGCACTTCTACAAGATCTTTGTTGGGTGTTCGCACATGTGCAGTAACTAGTTAAACACTACTAGTCAGTCAGAAGCACCTCTTGTCACTGTGTGTGCTGTAGCTCAGTGTGTTTCTCCACCAGTGTTTTTGAGGGCCTGACAAGCTGCTATGCGAGCATTATGAAGCGTGTTACAAAGTGACACAGATAGGTTACGGAAGTAAAGGCTGGACTACAATCGAGCTGTATGGCTTTTATGATTATATTGTTTTACTGATACTTTTACTTAACAAAATGATCAGAGTACTTCTACTACTGTCTTCAATACCAAACAAATACAGTAGTGGTCTGGTATCAAGTCTACTGCATACCCAGTTCGAGGTTCTCCCTGGGAAACTCCCATTTCAGGTCATACTCAAAGTCATTGAAGTTTATGTAGATGTAGTCATTGTCGTTGGGTCCAACCATCTGGATCATCTGAAGCTGCGGCTTGTACTGGGGTTTCTATTGAAAACACAAAGGGGTTGGCACCATGTCCTCACATGTGTTTATGTATGTGTGTGTGTGTGTGTGTGTGTGTGTGTGTGTGTGTGTGTGTGTGTGTGTGTGTGTGTATATATTATATACCTTCTTTTGACAAAGTACATGAGCACCACACTAACTACTGCCAATGCCAGAAGCAGAAGCATACTGCCTACTTTCAGCACCATCAAGCTGCTGTCATCAATATTTGGAAGACCTAAAAACAGGGATGAAGGAGAGTTTATAATGACAGTCATCAAAAAACAGTCAGCAATTCAAGATTTTGTAATGTGAAATCAATCTCGCTACCTTTGACAGCTTTGACTGAAGGTGCTTGGTACAATATGGTGTTTTGAGGACTGCACCAGGAGCCAACTGAGTTTTCCAGGCAAAACTTAAGACTGTGTCCTTTCACTAGATTGGTATGTAGGGAGCTCTTGATTGTCTTGTTACAGGAGACATCCTCCACTGTGTGACCAGCATTTTCGACTGTTTGACAACTGTTATGAGAAAAGAACAGGGTCTTGAGGAAATAGCAATCTGAGTGTGTATGTGTGCCCTCTGATCTGAGCAGTCCAACAGTGAACATACCTGTCGTTGGAACAAGATTTCCACGTATAATTTGCTGGCACAAGACTCACAGTCTCAACGGTTATGTTACCCCCAATACTACTGAATTTGAAGTCCGGATTGCCTGAAACAAAGTCAGCGGACAATGAGCTTTGCACCATTTAAAATACATTTGTAATATTATTGTGCAGAAGTTACATTAATAAAAACAATACCAAAGACACACAACAAATCTCTCTTACCCACAACACACACTGATATATTTGCTGTTTGTTTTTTTCCTCCAGCCTCCAAGTGTAACTTATAAAGTCCTGATTTGAGTTGATTACATAGTTTCACAGTCCTACAAAGAGAGAGTCAAAGCCAACATTTGTATGGTTATATTTTCCAATAGTAGTTGTGGGAAAAAACTGAAATATGTTGTACATTTCTACATGCTGATGGCCTTTTGCAACATTGTTAGCATTTCATCGATAGAGTTCAGCTCCAGGAGCATTGCTTCATGCAGCTACCTGTGTTCTGTCACCCAGCTGTCCCTGATGCATTTAGTCCTAGTTTTATCAGGAGCTTCCCAGAAACAGTTGTTGAGCACAGGGCGGTAGGAAACACTGGCTTGCAAACAGGAGCTGGATACGTTCTGAGCCAGAACTTCCTTGCTCTGATCCAGCTTGAAATCGATGAAATCTTCAGCTGAGGAAACACAAGAATGAAATCAGTACAAAAAAAGAACGAGAACCACAGGAAAAGTTGAAATTACTACACATGCAAAGAGAAAGAGCCAAGTGAAATTAGTTCTACCAACCCTTTACGTGAATGTGGACTAACTTTGGTTTGAAATTTGGAAAACTGCAGGTATATGTGCCACTGTGCTCCACATCAAGTGATTCTATGAACAGGTAGGCCATCCAATATCCCAAATGTAAGTCATTTTTAATGCAAATCTGGGACAAAAACATATAGATGTTATGATTTGAATGGGAAAGACCAGTGCAGTAGTTTATGATTTGTGTGGTAAGATTTAAGTATTAAAAAACGACAGGGAAATAAATGAAAATTTAAGGAAAAACTCATTGGTCTCAGTAAGAAATACTATACCTTCTTCTTGGCTTTAGAGCAGGTGATTGTTTTGGCATCCATTATTTGGCTGCCATTCTTCCACTCAGGTGGCTGTTGAGACTTTATTCGGCAGCGAAGCAGTAAAGACTGACCAGTGCTCAAAGTCACATTAGAAACTTCGTCACTTTTCACTGAGTCACTCCCTAGGACTGAAACACACAGTAGGGCCACAAGTCACGCAACAGACTTGATGGTCAGGTGATTCTTTTGTTAGATTGTTTGCTATAGCACGATTAATTAAAGAAGACAAATAGTTAGCAATAGTTAGTAATGAGCAAATTAGATTGCGTCTGTAATCATTCAGTATGGATAAATCTTTTGTACGATGTATTTAATGAATTTGTTTACATATTTAATTACCGTAGTCATACAGTTGGGAGCATTCTTGTCCTTCTGTGTTACTGGCACAGCACATCACTCCACTCTCAGCATACAGACTGCTGGATATTGAATCCCCACGCTTTGCGCGGTTTCTATTCAAAAGGAGGAGAAACATCATTATTAAAAGAAATCACACTATAATAAGATGTTTTTTTAAATAAAGTTAGTGTCAGCAGATGATACTGCATGACATCTTACCCAGTCCAATCAATAGTTGGCTTTGGGCAGCCCTCAGAGATGCATTTGAAATATGGGGATTTCTTTTGGTGTTCTAGGCGATCCAGTGTCAGCTTTGGTTTTGTGGGACGTCCTGGAAAAAAAATGTATTTTACTATCACTTTTAAAAAAAAAATCAGCATCAAACTGTCTAGTGTTTGTTTGCTTTACTGAGTGCTGACTGAGCGTTGTAGTAGAGAGTGTTACTCACCCTTTACACAAAGAGACACTTTCATTGACCAGGTCTCATTGCTAGTTTTACAGCTCAGCGTGTACTCCCCTGAATCTGTCTGAGAGAGCGGTGGTAGGACCATGGAGTGACTCCCATTTCTGGTGAGGATTTAAGGAAACGTATAAGTTTAAACATATACACGTGAGAAAAAAAGGGGGAAACACACTTACATACGCACACACACACAGATATTTACTTACACTGTCAGTACTTGGTCTACTCCTCTGATCCAGTCGCAGACAGGGTATTCAGATAAGTGCTCCAGGGAGATGTTGAGTTTCTTACCAACACAGGCCTCTACGCTGACAGGACCAGATGAATTCACATAGTCTGCTGGAACAAAGAATGTCACCTGAAAGACAAGACTCAATATTTAATTATCCTGCATTAACTAGCATCAAGTAGCATGAAGATTTTATTTAAATGGTGCAAGAACACATAAAAGAGGCTCATATGAGATGATCATAAAAAATTGATGACTGTTGTTTCAATGTTAATTTTATCATTAACACCTGTGCTTTAACTTGTCAAAATAATAACGTTAAAGCTTTTCTTGTGTCTGCTATTACGGGTCTGAAGCTGTCATACTAAAATGACAGACTTTCTTCACACGCCATTAACATGTTGAACAAGCAATGAAGGAAGTAGTAGCCTACTCTAAGACTTGTACTTTAACGCTATGTGTTAATACACATGCATATGTTACTCATATATCGTCTTTTAAGGATATGTGTATATTTGCCACATGCATGTATTTATTTTTGTAATAAAGTTTTAGTAAATTTATTTATTTAAGTTTATGCTATTTCCCTCCCTGATTTTTTTCAACCCCTTATTGCTTTACAGTTCTGTTTTTCTGTTTCTAAGTGAATCCACATTATGTACTCTGAAAGGTCTCTGTCTCTGTTTAGTCTGGTAATCTGGCCCTGTGAATGGAAGACTCTGGCTACGACATTCATGACAGCCATGCATGTGTTGGCTGTAAAAAGCAAACATTAAATATCATTATGATCTGTAAAACCTGCAGTCTGACTGTCTGTTGTGTTTCAACTATATCAGTTCATGCACATTTTAGTTCGAAATCATTTGAGCTTACCAAAGAGTAACAATTTCCCATAACTTAATAATGCCCCAGAAATATACAGTAACTCAAATAGACTATGCGAAAGTAATTTGCATTGTTAAGTTAAAACACTACTTTACCTCATTACTGGTCATGCAATGCTGATTCTGCACCGCCACACCATCAGAGCAGTGCAGCACCACAGCACACAGCAGAACAGCTTGAAAGACAGAAAATGTATAACTTTATTTCAAATGTTTCTAAATAGACTGAATCAATTAAAAAAGAAAATGATATTTGAAAGAAATATATGCAAGAATTATTAAGTAACACAAAACAAGAAACAATGACAGTATTGCCATAAAGATAAGTTAACCGCTCAATTTATGTGTTTTCAGTTTCAGTTTATTTACACTATATAATATATGCATTATATATATTTTTTATATTATACTTTTTTTTTTTACTAAATTTAAAACCTGAGTCTGATTTTCCCATGTTTTGATATTGCAGGGACACATGAATAGTCTACTGAGGTTTAAACTGATTTGAACGGTCATCCTCTCAACACACAGCCACTTTTGATCCTCATAATGATGAACTACAGCTGAGTGTCGAAACCTTCTGAGGAAGACCAACAATCCCCCAGAGACCTAATCTCCATAAATGAAATTTGAAAGATAGCATCCTTCCGTTCAATTCAACATCAAACATTTTTTTTATAAACATGCTTAAATTCTGTCCTTATATGTCACAATATACTTTAAATTCACGTTTCCTCAGTGCCATGAACTCAAACAACAGAACAGAGACCGTAAATGTCTCACTCACCCGCAATCATGTTTTTCTGCCTCCGTGTTGATGCTCTTTCTGTCAGTGTCACATACTCAAATGTACGCTCAGACAGCGAAACTTTGAGATGTGTGCCTAGCTTTTTAACAGGGGAAGTAACACTTTATTGTTGACGTTTTCAGCCACGCCTGCAATATCTGAAGTGCAAAAGCATTTTTAAATAGACCGAAGAATAGACTAACTTAAAATGTTTTTTATTTTATAAGATGGCAAGTGTGCGCAGCTGCAGTGTTTTTCTCATTTTGAGTAAAATATGCTTCAAACAAATTTTTTATGTAACCTAGTGGAGACAGACAAAAGCTTATTGAAAAGAGAGGTGTTATTAGGCTGCTTTGTATGTTCTCAATTACTGTCATAATCTAATATGTCTTTCCCTGAATATTTAAATGAACTTATCTGATCTCTATTACTTTTTGACCTTCTCTTGTTTTAGTCCTGATGTTGTATTCTCCTACGTCTATTTTTGTACATTTATTAAATTAAGTTAAAGCAATAATCTGCGTCATAACCTCGGATATAATTTAACATATGTTATTATTTATTGCAATGAAATCAATTCAGCTGACGACTGAAAGCACAGACTGAAGAGCTTGATCCTGCAAACTCAAAACCTCAATGCTCAAAACCTCTCCACCCCTTCATCTTAAATATTCGTTTGCATTCACAATCTCTCCGCTCTGCAAGTCCAATTTGCAGCTTGCAGCAGGTAAACTCTTCCAGACGGTGTAATACCCACAATGCAAAGCTATGCTAGCTTGTTCCTAGCAGAGCAGCCTGACTGCGACCAAAAACAACAACAGGCTACTTTGCGAAGACGGCAGCTGCATGGATAGCGATAACAACTACGACCAGGACTCCAAGCATGCAACGATATTTTCTTAAACCACCATGCACCTTAGCCTTATAATGTGAGTACTGCAGCGTCTTAAGTGTTCTCCACCAGCTGAAGTGATATTTATCCGTTCCTTTAAGGGAAACTGTTTGCAAGCTAGCTGGCTAGCTCGCTAGCTATCGGCGTCTCTCTATGTTTGAGTGTCTTCCGGCAGCAGCGGCGGCGGCAGCAGCGGTGCCATGAACAGTGGACTCCCAGCTTCAGCTGCTCCGCTTGGGGGTGCCGGGATACCCAATGTCAAGGTGAAGTTTTGCCGATATTACGCGAAGGACAAGACCTGCTTTTATGGAGACGAGTGTCAGTTCTTGCACGAGGATCCGTCCATGGCAAGCCTGCCGCTGCACGGCGGCGGCGGCAGCCCCGTCCCGTTGTCCATGGCCGGGGGTGGCGGGACGCCAGCGGGGTATTCCCACGGTGGCTCCGCGGCGGCCTGCCCGGGAGGCGGGGGGACCGGTGTGTCAAAGAAGAGTGAAACATTGGGGCCTGCAGGCACGTCTATCGACGGGCAGCTGTTAACCAGTGAGTAAAAAATGCAGAAAGACAAGGCCTCACACGGGGGGGGCTGACTGTGACTTTACTTTTGGGCCTTATTGGGCTTTGTTAAAATTTAGCCCGAGGATTCACTGAGGCCTCTTCACCCCAAAACAACGTGGGTTTCATTTCCCTGCCAAACACTATCAACCTTCCTGCAGGCTGCTAGCACAGACTGGGCTCTTCGGCTGTCTTTGGAATAGCTTTTGTCTTCAGGTGGTGTTAGTTATGCTTTACAACAACATGTAACATTATCCATGCTTTTGCAGCTTACATGGGGCATGTCTGCTGGTTTGTGACAGCTGTGAGTGGGCAGAAATCCGCGACCCACTAGCTGGTGTAGCTAATAGCCAGCTAGCGTTAGCTAAGCTAGCGTTAACTTGACCGCTTTAACTAACTTTAATGTGGCTGGCCTTGCCTTCAGAGCAATGATCAGTTGTAGTACTGATGGCCTTGGTTGTTCCCCAGTTAAATGTTGTTTATACTAACTGCAGTGTTGCTGTTAATGTCAATTTAATGTTTGCTAACAGTAGCGTAGCTAGGCTAGCTGTTCACGGGGCATTGTTTTTGCATTATGTTAGTGTTTTCCCAACGTAAACAAACATCAAGTAACAACTATTCACATGCAACTCAAACACCAACTGCGCCCACATTAACTTGGAGCCACTGAAGACAGTAATTGTTGCTAAAAAAGTTTACAAAATGAGACTGAGTGGATATCGCCCTGTGGCTGTCATTAGTAGTGGCTCACTGCAGGTGTGGAACTGTTTACATGCTTTCTAATTAGCTCTGTGATTGGTTAACCAAACAGTCAGTAGTACCGATATTAAATGGCATACTTTACCTTCTGGTCTCTGTTAAAGTCCTGAAAATAACTATGTTCCTATCAATGTTGCTGCAGTTAGTATTTGCTAAACTTTTTTCTGTCATCCACAGTCCCAGGGATGGAGGGCGCAACCCTGAGTGATGCCAATCTTACCAACTCTTACTTCAGCAGCAGCTTTATTGGGGTCAATGGGTTTGGAAGCCCCGCAGAGTCTAAATACTCAATGATGCAGGTACATAGGAGAAGCTGTAGATATGTAGTTAGTGTAAACATACAGCGTAACAAAGGCTGCTTTGAAAATGTATGTGTGGTCACACTACTGTTGTAGATCCCCCTTTAAACTGAGGCACTATATTAGTTATTGAAATGTTTTGCGTATGGTTAAATTGTTTTATTTAAATTCTCACATCAGAATACAATATTTGGTTATTTATTTACTGATAAACATATATTAGATTGCTTTCTGTAACACATCTGATCTTGGTGCTGCCCTCTTCAGCGGATGACTACCAGCAGCAGCTCTCCCAGTCTCCTCAACGATGGTGCCAAGAACTTCACCCACAGCGCTCATGGTACGACTCCTACTGAGCTCTGTGGAGCAGTGTTAAGCACTCATCCATTGAATTTTGAAAGCACCACTGCTCAGCTCCTTACACTCTTTGGTCTTCCACAGATCCAGTGAACTCCCCGACATCCTCACTGTTCAGTGATTTTGGTGCTCTTAGCATTTCCCAAAGGAGAAAGGTGAGCATATAAGCGTCCCGTCATAGAGAGTAAAATAATTTTAAATTGCTTTTAAGTTCAGGTCTGGACTTTTGTATGAGTCTTTATTGACTCTAAAAGGAGTAATTGATTTCATGTACTCTTGCATGTTTTGTGCCACCAGGCTCCTAACCCGGCAGCAAGTGAGTTTATCCCCAAGGGAGCTCCACGTATGGCCACCATGGCTCAGTCCACTGTCCAGGCCTTCCCCTCACCTCTCTTCCCACATCCTGGTATCAGCAGCTCCACAGCCGCTGCGCTGGCTCCAGGTGAGCGTTTCTGCAGCATTACCAACTGAAAACTCACCCTGCTACATCTGCTTTGCTCTAATTTCTACATGACTCAGTTTTGTTTTCTTCATCTTTAGCTCACAAATTGTGTAGTCCAGCAGGTCAGCGAAGTCCCTCCTGTCTATACCATCACATGTGCTACTGTTGAAACAAAAGTAGACATTTTTGGGCGCTGTGCTCCTTTCAAACGTTTCATATCCCCTTTTCATGAAGTAATTTAGTTTCCTTTTGTCTCTAATTTTAGGCATGTCTCTGTCTGCGGGATCATCTCCTCTCCACTCTCCAAAAATTACACCACACACCTCACCTGCACCTCGTCGGCGCAGTCACACCCCAAACCCTGCCAACTACATGGTACCCACCACCGCATCGGACCAGGGCGCTCACATAATACAGAAGAGACTGTAGGCGGGACCACCTACTTCTACACAGACAACACCCGGCACCAATGGCTGGGATGGTATGTGCTGCCCTACTCTGTATTTTAGTCAAGAAACACTTGCTAAAGCTGGGAATACACTAGAAGACTTTGACTAGACTAGAAGTCCTAACCAAACACCAAACTGCATTTAAACTCTATCTGAGGTTCTTTTGGGGGGCAAGCACGTGGGGAGAGGAATAATACATTTATGATCACACAGGTTTTCATTTCTCAATAAATAGGAAGCTGTGTTTTTCTGGTTTCATCACAGGTGTTTCCTACCTACCATATCTATCCACCTACTGCGCCTCACGTGGCCTACATGCAGCCGAAAGCCAATGCCCCATCCTTCTTCATGGCTGATGAACTCCGACAGGTATTTTCCACTTTCCCTTCGTTTTCACTTAATATCTTCACTGTGTTCTTCTCTGGAGGTTTTGTCTGATGCCCTTTTATTTGTCCTCCAGGAGTTGATAAACAGACATCTGATAACCATGGCCCAGATTGACCATTCAGAGAACCCAGGTAAAGGGGCTACTCTGTTGTCGCCACAAAGGGTTGTTATTAATTCAATAATTTCTGTTGCGCAGCAAAATGAGGCAGGCATGCAATAAAAACACTTTATAATCAATGAAAGAATGTGTTCTGTATTCAACAAAAGACCATTTTGGTGCACTGTTGTTGGTTCACAAGTAGACAAACCTATGTTGCTTAAACAAACGTGCAAGTCTGTTGTAGAGTTTATTTCCTCATGTTGGTGTCAAAGGGTTTTGAAATTTGTTTGTGGTCTCTGGGTTTTGCTTCCAGTTACCCACATGTTTTTTTTTTTTTTTTTTTTTCTTCTTTTTTTCCTCACACTCAATGAGGTACAATTTGTGAGCTCTCAAATTACATTATGGTTCATAATTAAGTGCTGAATTAGCATTGGTCAAAACTGATTGATCATATGGTCTATGGCCTTCGAGGTAACTTAATGTTGTTGGATCTGTTTGCATGTGTTTGTGCACTAGCATGTTATCATTTTCCTTCTGAAACTGCTTCTGTCTTTGGCAGATGTACCGTCTGAGGTGGACAGCTACCATAGCCTGTTTCCCCTGGAGCCTCTTCCCCCACCAAACCGCATGCAGAAGACCAGCAACTTCAGCTACATCACCTCCTGCTACAAAGCGGTCAACAGCAAGGATGATCTGCCTTACTGCCTGAGGAGGATACATGGTAAGAAATGGTCTTTCAAAGAAGCATAGCACATTTGTCACACACTAAGAATAGCCACTGAGGCAAATGATATGATCATGTATTGACTTTTACGGTAAGGAAAAAGCAGCTGGGTGAGATAATAACTTACCGTATCCAAAGCTTTCTTA